GCCTCAAGGCCAGGTCTCTTCAGAATAGGTGTACTAACAACAGTTATAAGGACCAAAGGGAACCGAAATAGAAGAGATATAAATATTTATCAAACAAGCGATTACAGTAAAGAAGACAATAATCACTTACGATTATTTCTAAATTACTACTATACAATATCTCTAAATTTTTTGTCATTATTCTTTTTCCCCCACATATAATCTGACTAATATGCAGCTGAGTGGGATATAATTATAATGTATTATACATAGCTGGTAACATGCTCTGTGAATTATATTTGTCTGAATGTTTTTAACAGTTTGTCACATGTTTTGAGCTACTATAGACTTCCATCATTTAATAATGACTCAGCAAGTCTTAGTGTTTTGACTCTGTTCTGGCTAAAATCTCCTACTAGGCATGATGTGTATCAGTATAGCTCAGAGTGAGCCAGAACACATATACAGCAGCAGCAGAACAGTCTCTCATTCCTGGCCAACTCTAAAATGCACACCATTAGAATAAATTCCCAAAAGAAACAGAGGTTATCACAATAAGTTGCATGCAGAAATTTAAGGGGCTCTTAGAGTGATCACTATGGGAAAATATCTGCTCATTTTAAGCGGTTATACAGAATGTGTGAAGAAGATTAACACTGTTGTGCTCTCCAATGCACATGAGGGAAGGTCACTGATGTAGGAAACTTTTCCTGAGAGAGATAAGCATCTCATTGGCCATCCTTCAATAATACAAAAGTAATGTAGTGTAGGTTTAATTACCTACCTGGTATCCTGTTTACCAGCAAAGAAGGAATATCAAAGAAGGGAAAAAAAAACAAACATATACAGCACCACAAATCTGATTGGTCATTGCATTGCTCAGACAGTAGATTTATATTATTTTGCTCGTTCTAATATGTTATGGTTTACATAGTAAAAACTCGAACACACTGACTTGTATAACAGACGTGCCACATACTCTATACAACTAATATTACTATTAATAATAATAATAATAATAATAATAATAATAATAATAATTTGTTGTTGTGGTGGAGCTGATGTTAGGAGATATGTAATATTATGTAATATTTAATGAAGGAGTCTTGGGTGTCAACACTTTGTAACAGTCACAGCGCTATGTAAAGTTAATTAATAAATGAAACATTGTAATTGTTGGCAAATCACTGTGGTACAAGCAGAATAACACCCTTTGGTCCATGCTGTTAAACAAAAATAATACACTTCAGGCGGTAACATATCACACCACCCTGGCATGTATTATTTTTTTTTGTATATCTGCAAGATCTGTCATGTGTTATTCCTTACTCACACAACTTATGATTTATTTTCTATAACATCACAGTTCAGCCAGCAGTTCTGCCTCCAAGGTTTATATCAATGTGTTCATTTTAATATGTTATTGTTTCCATAGCAACAATGTAGATAAGCACTTGCATGGTGAAATTGACTGAAACAAACAAACAAAAAAAAGTGTAATCATTGTTATGGCGAAGTTTTCCATGAGGAAATTTTTATTTAACATTCACGGAAAGCTTTATATTTAAGTTTTCCAACACAGGAATGTTCACAGAGCTTGCATTTGGATATAACTTCTTTTTTTTTTTTAAATATTTTGTTACCAACGTAATAGCCTGTGAGCCAATAGCCAAAGAATATATCCTGCTATGATAATTTTCTGTTGATTTGCCATCTTTGCCTCAAACCTTATGAATTTTGTAGGAAAAACTGATTGGATTGAAATTAAGACTAATTAAAGCACTATAACATTCCTTCATATACAGTTTCTATAACAGGCAATATACAGTTTCTACTATATTTTGCCTAGTTATAGGCCTGTTTTTCACCAATCTTTTGGGAGAATAAACACAAATGTCTCTGCTCTGACATTACTCTTCCTAATTACTTAAATCACAGTAGGAAGGCTGACACTAATCAACAAAGTATTAAATGCACCACTATGGTAACCCAACTCCCTGTTTCCCATTTTCCTACAGTTTTGTTTCACATATCTGGGGCATTTACAGGCTAAACTATTTGAGAAGCATTTCTCTACACTCTATGGAAAAATCATGAATTTCCATGGGTTTTTCACGGAGAGATATGAAAATTATTCACTAGAAACAAAGGTCAAAGATCAGACTGCTGAAATATTTACATGAATGCAATTACAGAATGCAAGACTGGAAGGGGTATCTCTGAGCTTTAAATATCTGCAAACAGCAATGTGTGCAATATACTGTATATGAACAGAGACCTTCAAAATAAAATGAAATTCTGCAGCTTAAATGCAAGGTTTTGCATAGGAAGTTACCATCGAAGCTTGTCAGTTCAGTGCTCCATCAGTACTTCATGATCTCTATGTGGAATATTAATAAACCCTATACTTAAATTTTGTATAAGTGGAAACACACATGGTTATCGGTGCGGAATGACACTCATTTATATTAGAATCAAAAACCAGAAACCAGAAGACCAGTGGTAAAATGAAATTAACAGGAACATGAACAACAAGGAGTTCATATTTGGATTGAGAATGTCATCCAATCACTTCTCACATTTAGCCTATCCATATTTGCTGATACACTGGTATTGTAATACAGGTTTAATTTCCTGTATTTCTAAAAGAAACCACTGAGTTTAAATCAAAACAACAATACAAGTACTGTTCATTAACTCATAGATATATTTGCAAGGACTAAGCAGGAATGAATGAGTAGTACTATATTACCTCCTAAGGTAATATACACTATATTAAATAATATAGTGTAACATACACTACTATTAACTTGTGATGAATACTGATTAATTATTTGGTAAGTAATAGTAAAGTAATGGTTTGGTAGTTTATTATGAATTAAGCAATTCTTACTGAGTCTTGTACATTTTGTCTTCTGGAGAGCTACTAACTAGCAAGTCATTAGTAATGATTTATGATGTGCCTCACTTAATAACAATAATGTTCCAGATCTCTGTTAAGTCCTAAGAAAGAATACAGTCACACTTCAGCCATTAGTATCTACCTTATACCACTTATTTATTCTGTAATATTTGGAATAGATACCTCCAAACCAATGGAAGTGGGACACATATACAGAATGACATATTTATATGAGTCATCTCTTTGTGACTAAGATTGGTAATGATTCAGAAAGAACACTGATACACTACTACAAAAAAAAAGGTAAGAAATCTATTCTACTAGACAATAGAGTTTTAGCTTTGGTCTCATTTGTAGGCCGATGTGCAAACTGACTCATACTGCCACATATTGTAGCATTTCAGTCACATGATTTTGGTTGCCGTCACTGTATTTGGTCCCGAATGGTTTTGCTGCACAATACAAATGTAACTAGAGGTTAAAGGGAGCTAATTACTCACCTTACTTCGGGAGAGAATAAAGGGTACAATGAAAAAGCCGATAAAACAGATTCTGATCCTTATGTTTTTTTTTTTATAATACAGAAGGCTACTTTGCATCAGCTGTTGTTTCTTTAATAGATAGGTAAGATTAGTAAGTAAGTGATTAGATAGTAGTTTCCATGAGATACTTTGAATAAGATTATTACTGCTTAGCTCATAATGAACTACCAAACCATTACATTATGATTACTTTCTGAGTAATTATCCAGTGTTCATTAATAGTTAATAATAGTGACTTGAGTGTTACTGTAGTACTTCTTCATTCATTGATGCTTAGTCCCTGCATAGTCACATATGAGTTATTGAACATTATTGTAAAGTGATACCAAAAACTGTATTGTAATGAGCTTACATTTTGATAGTAAGTGCATCTCAACTGTTAAAGGTGATAGGTATTGATAAATTTTCTAAAATGCCAAATAAATAAATCACAAATCTGGCTCTTTTATTAAATTTGTTCATGGGGAAAAAACAAACCTACCTAACTGTCTGATGGAAAATGGTTTTCAAGGCAGACTGAGTGGAAAGGTAGAAAAAAATGGTTTTCAGAGCAGACTGGGTGGAATGCTTAAGGTGCTTAGAGTTTGCAAGCAATGGTAATCTCATTATGATTGTATGAGCTTGACATCATTAGCACAGGGCAATGATGGGCAGAAGCACATTACTGAACATTATGATTACATGGAAAACAACAGGAACACAAGGGTGTGACCTCGCATTAGCAGTGTAATTAATCTAAATGGTTTAGTACAAACATAAATTATTGGTGGTGCTTATGTTTGGTTCATAGAGGCAGACTGCATCAAAGTAAAAAAAAAAAAAAAACCTCCTTGGGAGATGCATCTGTTATGCGTTACATTGAATCTTGACAGAAGCTGTTTGTAAGTTATTTGACAGTTGTCTGCTCAATTTTGCTACTACAGAAGCAGAAAAATGTGATGCCATGAAATAGAAATCTGGTTCCTTAGAAATGAGAAGAAATATTCTGAATATGCTGGGCATTCATAACATAAATTAGGAGTGTATCTAGTATAGTATATATATATATATATATATATATATATATATATATATATATATATATATATATAATTATGGAATTTAGATTTTAGACTCAAACCTATCCATTTTATAAATTATTTTCTATTTCTCATATCTAACATCCCTTGTGATACCCAGACTAGAACAGATAAAATATGTCTGATGTATTTCCACTTTTGTATGACACTCAAGAGCCAACAGATTCAAATAAATTTTTTTTTCCTCCTCTTTCTTTTCTTAGGCAGCAGTTTGATGGCTGTGACTAATTGGGACTTGCAGGATAGCATGGTATCTCTAGAATCACAAATTGGACCAGAAAGACAACGGAGATTTTATCCCACCATTAAGATGGCTTGGGGATGGTATTATTTTCATTCCCCTCCTTTATATATATATCCACCCTCCATTTTTACAGGCTCAAAAGTAATTTGAAGTGTAATATTAGGATTACTAGGATACTAGGATGCAAATCTTTTGCAATCTATGACTGCCTGAAGTCTGGAACCCATGAACATCACCAAATGCTGAGATTCCTGGGTAGTGGTAGCTCAGTGGTTAAGATGTCGGCCTACTAATCAGACGGTCATGAGTTCAATCTCCAGCACCACCAAGCTGCCACTGCTGGGCCCTTGAGCAAGGCCCTTAACCCTCAACTGCTCAGTTGTGTAAATGAGATAAATGTAAGTCGCTCTGGATAAGGGCGTCTGCCAAATGCCATAAAGGTAAATGTAATGTAAATGTTTCCTCCCTTGAGATGCTTTGCCAGGCCTTTACTGCCTTCAGTTGCTGCTTGTTTCAGGGTCTTTCTGCCTTCAGTTTGTCTTCAGAAACTGAAAAGCATGCTCAATTAGGTTGAGGTCAGTGATTCGGCCATTTAAGAACATTCCATTTCCAAGCTCTTGGATTGCTTTCATTGGACTTTCTGGGCCATTATCCATCCTCTTAGTTTTGTAGCATTTGACTGAAATGAGCATAGCTACCTATACTTCAGAATTCATCCTGCTAATTCCCATCATTCTGGTACAAGTTAACCTTGGTTTCATCTGTCCAAAGAATCTTGTTCCAGAACTGATCAGGCTATTTAAGAGGTTTTTTAGCAAAGTCTAATCTGGTCTTTCTGTTCTTCGGTGTTACCAGTGGTTTGCATCTTGAGGTGAACCCTCCGTAATTACATTCATGAAGGCATCTCTTGATTGTAGACTTTGACAATGATACGCCTACCTCCTCCAGAGTGTTCTTGACTTGGCTAGATGTTGTGAAGGGGTTTTTCTTCAACAAGGAAAGAATTCTGTGATTATCCAATTTAGTTGTCTTCCATGGACTTCCAGGCCTTTTGGTGTTGCTGAGCTCCCCAGTGCTTTCTTTCTTTTTAAGATTGTACTAAACTGAATTGTTAGTTTCTGCTATCTCTCTGATAGGTCTGTTTTGTTTGTTTTTTTTCGCCTAACGATGGCCTCCTTCACTTGAACCGCATTTTGAGAGTCCCCTTGAACAGCTACCAAATGCTTGGAATCAACTCCAGACGTTTTATCTCCTTAATTTGGAGATGAGGAAACAGGCCACACCTTGCCATGAAACTGCTTATCACTCAATTGTCCAATTACTTTTGAGCTTGTAAAAATGGAGGGACTATGTAAAAAATGTCTGTAATTCCTAAACGGATAATGCAATATTTTTCACTTCAATACCATCTTGACTGCTTCATTTCAAATGTATTTATTGTAGTGGAGTACAGAGGCAAAATTCTGAAAATTGTGTCACTGTTCAAATACCCGACTATGTATGTATATATATATATATATATATATATATATATATATATATATATATATATACATACACATATATATAAATATTTGTAATTATTACTGTACACCTGAAAACTGCTCAGTTCATTCAAATTCTTTTCATCCACTTCATCACAAACCTTTTACCAATCCATCGCAGTCGAGAATAAACATACCTCTGACAGAAAACAGAAGTGTGTGCGTTGGCTGAGGAAGAATGACTGATGACAAAATGAATAGCTCAACAGTGTGTGAGAAAAGCGACAGCTCCGGGCCTACCTGTCCACCCCTCTTTTGCACTCTGCTTGATTTGTGAGTCTGGTGTAGAAAAGCTGCTCCATAAGCATGGAGAGGAGGAACAGGTGCTGAGAAGCACCGCTGTGGCTGGGATTTGCATATAAAATGAGACCTTCGGTTGGGGACCTGATATCTAAACAAAATCTGTCAGACATGAGTACTGCTTTGTATTAATCTATAAGAACATACAGTAATTGGTACATGTGCCAATACTTTGTGCTCTGGACTTTCACTTTTTTTTTTTTTTTTTTGGTAAGTTTCCAAAGTAAAGTCTCTCTGAAACATTAAAATTAGGATGAGAATACAGTGTGGCCAAAAGACCTAGATTCTGTGTTGGAGCTGAAGGTCTTCTCTCAGGAGTGTGCAGGACAGAGCATGGACTTTGGTAATGAACAAACCTGGAAAATGTAGAGCAGTTTATTGAGCTGTTTATTGAAAATGCATATGAGCTAAATAATTCAGTCTGACTCATTTAATCTGTAGGATAATTTATGCATTTTATTTTACTGATTAGAGTACAACATGAAATATCATTCATTGTTTCATTCATTCATCATCAATAATCATTTTATCATGGTCAAAGTTGCAGTGGATCCAGAGCCTATCCCGGGAACACTGGGCATGAGGCGGGAATACACCCTGGATGGATCCATCATACAATTAATTTCATACAATTACATACCATTGATTTCATTAGAAAAATCAAAATTCTAGGTCTTAACTGATATATGATTTCTGGAGTTGTGGATCTATGGAAAACTTCACAGTTTGCAGCCACAATCTCAGTGTGTGTGTGTGTGTGTGTGTGTGTGTGTGTCTGTGTCTGTGTGTGTGTGTATTCTTGCCACAGTGTGGAGCTCTCTCTCTCTAGCTTGCTTCACTGCTTCCCTCTTGAATCACTGATCTGAGACCAGAATCTTTCACTCAGCAATATACTGAGATTTCACAAATATAACAAGGCTAAAGACCAAATGCAGGAATGTATAAGTAAAAGAATACACATTTCCACCTACACTTTGTGCTAGTCCTGTTTAAGCATTTTTATTTAACTTGATTCATGAACCTATTTCTACCTACTTGTTAACTGGAACAAAACGTAATAGCAGCTGAATTTTATCGCAAGCATTTCTACCAGACATTGAAGCTTTTCGATCAAACATAAATGTATTAGCTGGCCCGCCAGGCAAGTGGGAGTGTCAGTGTCTTGCTCAGTCCTATGTCTTGTCTGACCGGAAACATAATTGACTCGGCTAAAATGTGGCAGCTAACACGTGGTAGCTAAAATGTGGTAGCTAACAGTAACTTACGGTGAGCCAGATTGGAGGTTAAGCACATAAATAAAGACTAAGGTAAAAAAATATATATATATGTTTCTAATGTAGCACATCATGTTGCAACAAAAATTCAGCAGGTTCTTGGCCATCATTCGGTATGAGATGCAGTGTTGTGTTCTCACACCACATGTCAAAGATATTATTCTAGTCTGGCCTGTGTCTTTAGTTTCTGGCTGCCAGATCTCAGACCACTGTGAAGTCCACAGTGAAGCTTAAACATAGCTATATACCAAAATGTGAATAAGGAATAGGTTTTTTCCCCCCTTTTTCTGGTTGTAGAACCTACTTGTCCACATGGCAAGTAGCCTGGATATGAAATCTGCTTGCCCTCTCAGGATACTGATTTGTTCACCCCTGAACACTCTAATTTCATACACTTACAAAACCAGGAATGACAGGCATTCACAAGTTGAAGTGGGAAAAGAACAATCATCTCATCTCTAATTGGTTAAACTTGTTAGTGTTCTTGTATGTGTATATATATATATATATATATATATATATATATATATATATATATATATATATATATAATCAGTTTAGCACACTGATTTCATTTACCTGTTCATTTATGTGTCACGGCTAAAGAACATACTATTGTATCTATACTACGTAATTAGCATTTTATTGAGTATTCAAAAGTGATTAGACTCATTGTTTTCACTTGAATGATTCAAATTACTGCAAACTGTTTATCATAATTGTGGTCATGATCATGAGCTTTGGACTTCTGACAATAACAGGCTTGTCTAATAGTCTAATAGATCCATTTGTACACTCTAGAAATACTTTAGGATTTCTGTAGAATTACTGTAGGATTAATGGAACACTTCACAACCATCTATTATTATTACTTTTTTTTTATAATTATACATAAACTGTATCTACATTATCATAGTCCTGTTAAAAAGTTTATTGCAGACAAATGCATTCAGATTGTTTGGATAGCTTCTGCATTAATCTGTAACTACATGTATTCATTAAAAAAATAGCAACACTAGTCAAACCTTGCAACAACATTAAGTAAAAATATTATGACTGAATAAGTACTAGAGACATAAAACTTGCTTTAACATTTAACTGTGTAGCATGTAAGTGAAATAACATGACACCTTCAAAATCACAGTATAAACAAGTTGCAAGGTCTCCCAGATGTATGGCATGAGGAGGCACAGCTCAATACACACCTCAGTGCAGCTTCAATATGCATTCACTATGCCTCGGATATTAATGTTTAATTGGCTGTAGCTTATCACTCACACTCTACCTGAGATCGCTTGCTAAATGTGAAATTGTGTAAATGGGTATACCAGAGAGCCATCAAAAACTTGTGACTAACAAGGAAATGGACAATTAATAAAGAAGAAATTAATGTGTTAATGAATTAAAATATTTTTTAAATGCAGGCACTTGTGTTAGCATAAGTAAATATTCTGGAGGGAATCAACAGAGCTGAAATGCCATTAGATCCTTACATGTACAGAATATATGTCACACAAACGTATTAAAATATATACAGTATATTCTATACATTTTGTGATCAACTTCAAATCAGATAACATTCAATGCTACACAATGTCAGATTGTTTAATTTGTTAGATATGAGGAAATTGATGTATGTGTTCATAATGCCTGTATATGTGTGGTGGTCTGGGAAAACCCAATGCATGCAATTGTGTTTCAAATTTATGGAAACCAAAAAAAAATATGTTTATGACCAAAATTGGGCTTTTCTGCCTATAACATACTTTGACACTTTAAATATATTCATAGGGGGGCATGGTGGCTAAGCACTGTTGCCTCGCACCTCCAGTTCGAATCCCGTCTTTGCGTGTTCTCCTTGTGTTTCCTCTTTGTACTCCGGTTTCCGCTTCCAGTGCAAAGACATGTGTTGTAGGCTGACTGGCTGTCCCAAATTGTCCGTAGTGTGTGTGTGTGTGTGTGCACGATTTTGCCCTGCGATGGGTTGGCATTCCGTCTGGAGTATTCCCCGACTTGTGCTCCGAGTCCGAGGTTTTACATATAATTGTTGATGTGGTAAAGGTTTCTGTTAGAAGATGTTTATGTGACATTTATGGAAGCACTTTGTAACAGTCAGTAAGTTTCTTTCATTTCAACTTCTTAAACTTCCATAGGCTATTTTTTTTTTTTCAGAAATCATATTAAGCCAGTTTAACAAACGTGCTACAAAT